TCCTGGCCTTACTACTAGGAGCAAGGACGCTACTAGGGGCTCCTGGCTCTACTACCAGGAGCAAGGACGCTACTAGGGGCTCTTGGCCTTACTACTAGGAGCAAAGACGCTACTAGGGGCTCCTGGCCTTACTACTAGGACTAGGAGCAAGGACGCTACTAGGGGCTCCTGGCCTTACTACTAGGAGCAAGGACGCTACTAGGAGCAAGGGCATCGCTAGTAGTAGCAAGGACGCTACTAGGCCAAACAACCAGTGATACTTTGGCATTGACCCAGAATGGGTTGTTCCAATGGAAGTTCTGACGTTCCAACCCCCCCGTCTCCCGCATTAGGGAAACTAAATTCACGGTCATGTGTCAATGTGATTTTATCATTTATCATTGGACATCTTTTTGCATTCTTCTCTCTTTTGGACCGATCTTGATAAACACATGCTTTCTCATTTGCATCTGCTTGATAAACCAAATGCACCAACAACTCCTTGTTGACAGCTTGACAGCCTAGTCCACCCGAACCTCCACAGCGAGAGCATCTTCTCGAGCCTTACGCTCACGTGCCCTCCTCGGTGGAGTGCACTTTCGCTGCAAAGAGTGAACTTTTGCATAGGAAACTGGGCAGTATAGCCAACGATAGGAAACTTTCAACTATTGAGTCATTCAGCTAGCAATTAAACAAGTACAACACTGAAAGGATCTTGCAATCTTCCCGGAAAGTCATGTTAGAGAGAGTTGTGTAGATTGACAAGCAGTCCGACGCCTGCCACAAAGAAAACACTCCCTCACTACTCGAACAGAACATTGGAACACGCCTTAAGGTAATTATCCGGCAAGTAATGAGGAGGACAGGAAGCAAACTCAAAGTAAACACATCTACCCAGTTCGGGATTTCTTTAGCTGTTGCCCATTCTACTCCTTTGCTCCGGATTGCAGCTTCACCGTCTCTTAACAGTATCATAGACATGAACCCTTGAAAGCGACAACGATGTTGTGCTTCTCCCTCTCACTTCAACATGATTTTCAGATTTTGGCTTCTCACACTTTCCCGACCGAGGTGCAACAAAGGGCATCGCTACTAGGAACAAGGGCCTTACTACTAACAAGAAGCTATTAGAAACAAGAAGCTAGAAAGTAATTAGAATTAAATTAGAATTGAGTTAAATTAAATTAGAATTTTCCCGACCGAGGTGCTGTAACATCTGTTCCATTTCCTCTTGAAAGGCCTGGCGGAAAGAGAGCAAAGCTTTCGACTCTGCGTAGCGTTCCCGTGGCGAAGGGCAAGGGAGCTGCCCCATACCATCTCTTATCGAAGCTTTCGTGCTGCCAATCTGGAACTGACAACAAGGACACTTAGAGCACGAATGCCTCAGCCACCTCAACCTGCACTTTTGCCAACAAAAACGCCCCTGAGGCAAAATATATCTTCTAATTGGCCTCGGGCCTGAACAAAAAATGGATTTAACATGAATAGCGATTAGTTACTTTTGGAAGGTTTGGGTCCCCAGGGCTCAACAAGAAACCTTCCTTTGCTGCCTGATCTTAAACTTTGCAAGTAGCTTTCAGGGGCCGCACATTGTGTGACATGTCATCCAACACCCTGGTCAACTGCAGAGTTCCATCCCGCAGAAAGAACGTAGA